TTGTTTATCGAATACTTTTGTTTTCAAGGCATATGGATTGTAACTTTGAATAATTGCCTAAACTATTAATGAAAGTTAGTAAATTTAGTCAACTCTGTGATAAATATCATTCTTGTAATCATTTCATTGTGTAACATTAGTACTGATAATCAATCATTCGATAAATATTTTTGCATATACCTTTCTAGTTATTTTCTAAGTTTGGTTAACATTTTCACTCCCTTAAAGCCAAAAAAATTTTAGAGAATTTCATTTTGGTTCGATTACTTGGTTAAACCATTTGAAACAATTTTAATGTTGAAAGAAGACTACTAGATAAACTAAAGACTGAATCGATTTTTTTTAATTACTGTCAGCATTGTCCTGTTGCTTAAAATAAAGTAAACTGTATCATCACTAAACACAATCATAATGATATAAGCAATTTATGGAGATATTTGAATTTCTGAGTTTATATCACTGATTGATCTTAGCGACAAAAAACCATTGATAAATAGGAAACAAATTATCATCATAGTCTGGGATTTCTAAAGACGTTGCATTCACGACCTTATCAGGAATCGGAAATAAGACACTTAGATCCCAATGCACGTACCTAATCACTAAACTACTAAGCTAACATACAATGGCTTACGTGTTCAACTCCAGTAAGTTCGTAATGACGCTCAATCATTTTCTTGTATCAACGGTAGATAACTGAGTCACACTCCGTATGGTTTAACTCCAACGGTCTCGACTTTTTATTAGAATGCTGAGAATTAATTCAGGAAATAATTATGATTATTATTAGTATAGAGTATCTATAAAGTTGACCATATTTTTAAAATTTTATTACGAAGACTTACAAGTAAATAGTGAGAATTTATTTTAGAAGTTCCAGCAGACCTGAAGCCATCATTCAACAGATTTAAAAAAAACAATGAAACGAGCCCACAAAACGAACAATTCATAAAAATAATGTTCAGATGTCACAATATGATACGTATAGCTAAGTTCACAGCAGCAAAGTGTGTGAATTTAATACAATCGTTAGACATTTTAAATCACTTAGTGGACAATATTTGAATCCTTAGTGTGGTTGTAAGCTTTCAGGGCGAAAAAGCCCCATATCAGGATGAAACAGCTTTCATACACCTCTATAAATCAGTGATTAACTGGCTTAATAATTTTTGTATGCTTACAATATCTCAAAATGTCTTATAATTATTATTCAGCTGAATTTCTTTAGAAAACATAAGAAAAAAAGGACGCTAAACATTATTAGATGAAAGAAAATCTGAGAAATGTATTAACATTTGAGTAGTGTTTAATGCATCCAAAATAAAAACTGCAGTTAGCGGGATGAAAAATAAATCAAGTTTAACAATTTCTTGTTAAAAAGAAACATCATTTTTTTTAAACGTTTTTCCAAACCATAGTTACCATGGTTATTCAATTTGTTACTCAAACGACATAGTAAGAGAACATTGTTCGTATTTGTTTTATTATCATGGTTACAGTATCAGTAGACAACAAAAGTTTGATTCTACAAGAATTTTTTATTACAAGTACAGTTTATAAATGTAAAAATTATAGAAAAATCTATTAAATATGTTTAAGTTTATAGGTAGTGTACAACAGATTTTGTGTATTTTTTGTTAATTGGTATTAAAATGTAATTGGTTTAAAATGACACGTTTTGAGTAGGCTAATTAGAAAGTCCATTTCAGTACATTAAACTGTCAATAATTAGATGACATCTGATTGTTCTATTTAAACAAGGATACAGTTGGGGACGTTAGATCCGCAGAACTCACTTGATAAAGGTCTTACTTTTGGATTTCATTCATGGACTGATCAGTTGACCTTGAGATTACATTTCCCATCACGAAAATCTTTGGTTGTGATTAGTTGCTAACTTGCGTCACTTACTGAGAAGGCGAGATAGACGTTTGCTAACAAAAGGACCAGTGTACTGCGCAGTAGTTCTCTCCGTCTTACTTTATGGCTGTGAATCATGGCCAATGAGAGTAGGAGATATTCGTAGCTTACTGGTTTTCGATCATAGGTGTCTGCGAAGCATTGCTCGAGTATCGTGAGACAACCGAGTAAGCAATGCAGTCGTTAGGAAACGGGTACTAGGTAAGAATGGCAGATCAATACGCGAAATACTGAAACTTCATCAGTTGAGGTGGTTGGGACATGTGTTACGTATGGCTAACCACCGACTGCCTCGACGAGATATGTTTTGTAGTGTAGGAATAGGTTGGACGAAAGTTAGGGGCGGCCAGACCAAAAGATGGCAGAAATCAATGAAGTCACTGACGAGTGGACTGAGTCATGTTGGTAGGTGTAGGCTACCTGGTTGGGGTCCGCGAGATGATAATAATCGATGGTTAGAGACCCTGAATGACATGACTTAAAATCGTTTGCAATGGCGCAGATGCATTTACTCTTTGTGTTCTATGAAATTCTAACCTTTTGAATTCCTCATTAGCTCTATATTTCTCTTTCTAAATTCACCTCACTGAATTATACTTCTTGAATAACATCTTCGAACCCTAGTCTCTCCGATTACTTCTAATACTTTTGCTAACTATACTACTATGGGATTTGAATTGACAATCATATCTCTGTGCTGATGTGGTATGGCAACATAAACTGATCATGAACGGATCAGAGTAGCCTGTCGTGAAACTAGGTAATTGTCTCGTTCCTGTTTATCGACTAAGGTGAACTCATAATAGTTTCAAGCATATAAAGTGACAAGCATAACAGATACATTCTTTCAATTCACATATATAACAATCTGAACAGGTCATTGTTCATAAGTCTAAAAATTTGTTGAGTATATTTCTACCGCTATTTTGAGCACCAGTGGAGCACCAGGTGAGCTTGGTCAGTATGCCTGAATTGTCCAAACCTCAATCATTGACTCTGATGTTATCTTAAATGAATGAAAATCTTTTATTCTAAATCCATTAGATTTTAAAGAATACTGTTATTAATTAATTGATATTGTTTAACTTTTTCTTTCTAATTCATAATCCAAGAGGAGTGAATAAGAAACTGTTTTCTGATTATTAAATCCTCAATTCCTAAAGTCTTTTTTGCTAGTTTTCCATCCACTATATAGAGATGGTTTTCAAAAAATAGGCTTTTTTTCTATGATCTAGATCAATTTTTTTAAAGGTATGTAAAACACCATGAAATGACATTGTAGATTGAAGCTTATATTCAATGATAAACTTATGTGATGGAATGGAAAACTACTTCAACATTTAAATATCATCAATATAAGTCTCAAATAAACTCAAATGATCAGTTATTAATTCTCCTTCATTTTTTTGAAATTATCCATAAATATCAATGTGAAAGATATTTTCATGAAGAAAATCCTTTAGAAAACTTACTGTTTGGACCCTATTTTAGGTCGTTGCATAAAAGATAAACTCTTAACAATGAAAAAATAATGTTAAGTATAAAAATTGGCTTACTTACTCTTTTAAAGTCGGGTATCTAGCTTTCTTCTGCACTACATTCGTAAGTATCTCATAGAATGATTTACTCTAAGATAATTTAGTCCTGTATTTTCTTACAACGACTACACTTCAACCTGATTTACAGCTTTGTTACGATAAAATATGGCAGATGAATGATGATCATATATTTTTTCATTACGGAGTTGTGAAGATTGTTAAGTTACACAATTTTGAAACCATGGATGCGCACTGCTGAGGAGTCCCATACCAGGACGATACGGCCGTCCAGTGCTTCCAGGATTCTAATTGTGGTCTAAAATTGGTAGATTCATGGTTTCAAAATCATATATTTTCTAACTACTATTCAATTAATCAATCATTTCCATTTTGGGACAATCAATCAAATCAACTTCTCATACAGAAATTATACATTATTTTACGTAATTATGATCAATCATCACATAATATAGAACATCTTTGAATTACAGTTCTTAGTGCATTTGGTTATAACTTAAAACATCCTAAATAACTCTCTGATATAAAATTAAACTAAAACAAAAGATTCACATGATCTCATTTCTGTTATATTTCCAGTGGCTAATAGAGAATATCACCACTAACTAGTTGATTATTTCAGTAGGTACTTGTGCTCTTGAAGATTAGTTCTAGTTATTATTTATTTCTATGATAAATAACTCTGTACATCGTTAGTTCGTAGGCAGTCAGTTAAAGGTCGAATAGTTTGATTCTGTATATCAATATACGGACAAGTAAAAGATTTTCTATTCAAAAACCAAAACTCGTCTTAATTTCAACTATGCTGATGATGACTGTTAATGTGTGATTCGAGATCCTAATTAAAGTTTATTCGTTTCATTAAACAATACTACTTGTGTTAAATCAAAAATTTATAAACATCAGAAATACTTAAAACGTTTTCTGTAATCTACCGTTTAAAAATGCCCTGGATAAGGCTATCAGGCGCAAGACCATAAGTCCTGGGTTCGAATCTTGCGGGTATCAGGAATCATGGATGCGTACTGCTGATGAGTCTCATACCAGGACGAAACGGCCGTACAGTGCTTCCAGGTTTCTAATAGTGGTCTGACAATGACTGACTCATGATTTCAATGTGTAAAACAAATCATACAAGATGGGCAGAACCTGATTACTCAGAGCTCATTCCGAAATTCACTTTATCATAATTCTTAGTTGCAGTTTCTGTTCTAAAGACTTATTTTCTGAGTTTTCTATGAATTTAAATCTAAAAATATTACCGAAGCGTTTAAAGTAAATCACGTTTAAGTTTAATAAGTTTCTTTTGGTATTCTAAATATCATCACCAATATTACAACAAATGTCATTCTGACATAAGTTGATAAATACATATGGGATTGAACAAATATGCAAAAGTAGTGTTTTCTTGAAATTAAGAATGGAGTGTTTGCACTACACTGAGAACGATATTTTAATGTTTCTTTATTCATTTACTAAAGTACTGATCATATCATCCTTATTTTTCTGTAATCTTTTTTCTAGTTGGAATTATATTCGCCTTACCAATAATTATATTTCAAGTATTAATACCAGTATCAAGGGACGATATATTACCAGAAAATATCACAGCATTTAGCGCAACTTCTACCGGTATGCTGAGTACTACTGATCATATAACAGAGATGCCACAGACATATACTCCAACAAGTAAACCAATTCATGACTCAGTTAAAACTTATCCTAGCATCGACATTAGTAATAACAATCAAGAAGTATTTTGTCGTGAACAATTTCCAACTCAGTCGAGTCGTATGGGTTATCAACTTTTTGTTCTTCTCTCAACTTATGTACTTCCGTTTGCATGCATTCTCATTTTAAATTCTTGTATCGTGCTGAAATTGAAACAAAAAGTAAGTTGATTTCAGTGTTCAATAATTTTCTACTTAAATTCATTAAATTAGCAAATTAATTTATTCAAATATATTCTCATATGTTTTTTTTCATACAGATAAATATTTAAAAATGATTTATTAATGAAGAGTAGTAAAACAGTAATTAAGAAACTAGTAAAATGTTTTTGTTACTTGTTGTTAAAAGTAGGAATAAAAAGATCAGTTCAATCATCAATCATTCGGTTAAACGTATAAAAAGTGTTACTAAACAATCGCCTTAGATTAATTTTAATTAGCACGAAAAGTCAAGTTTTGTCAATATATTGTTAAAAAAAATAACGACGTCTAGTGTGAAATCTAAAATTTTCATAAAAATAAAGGATTTTTGATTTTGTTATATTGAACTGAATTAGTTTTTCAAATTTTTTTTTACCTGATCATTGTATTGTATTTTAAAAATGCATTTTATTTGATTTGGAAGACGGCAGACGTTTTGGTATGGCATTTTACTAAAAGAATATAAAGACTACTTTATTTATATCGGAAAAATATTTAGGCCTATTCACTTTGAAAGTTCAATATTCTGATTTAAAAAATCAAGCGTGATAAATATACAATCATATAAACGTTATATTAATCATGTGTAAATACCTTTCTGAACCTATGTGACAAGAGGCTGGATAGCAAACTGTACTAGAACCTGAAAGGACTTAAATATCATTAGTTATAGAACACCAGGTACACAGTATAATGTGATTTCAGTCACAATACGAGGGAGACATTTTAGCCAATGAACAACAAGAACTACTGATTGTGCACACTGCCACTCTAGAGACCTTGCAGTCATTCCCAAGATGAGATAACGTTAAAACAAATGTGATTTTTATTAATGGTTAGAATTCAATGTCTCTTTAATGGAAACTTCTTCACAACTTCCCCTACTGTACTCATCACACCTGTCACACAGTAGTTTTAAATATGGTGTAGCGAGTTATTATTGTTTTGGATTCGATGTAAAAGCCATTAGTTTGTCTAGTAACTAGCTGTTTAATAACACTAAGCTCTTATAATCACGTTATCGCTCGTTTACAATTAGGTTTAAACATGGGTTAAACTATAGTTAGTTGTTTCACAATATGCTACATCTTTTATACATTTCAGCAAGCATAGTGTGTACGCGACAATATATTGAGCAGATATTTTGATAACGTTGAAACCAATTACTATTTTTCTGATATATATAGTCAAACCTTAAAAATTTATAGTTTAGGTTAAAGAAAAAGAAACTACTATAATTTTATTGTCAGTTATAACTTGACCACACTGTTTTCTGTTAAGAGAAAATTACCTAACTTCAAAATTAAAACCCGACTAATCAGTCACCAAGTGTTTGTATTTCTAATTTTTTGTCGTTCTAGTGACAAAAAGCAGTTACAAATATTGCCTAAATGGTTTTTTCGTTTTGAGAAATGTCATGACCACATTAATTTTAAAATGAACATCAAATAAACTGGTCTGCTTTAGAAAGGTTAAATCTTAAATATTTGAGGCTAACTTTTACAGCTAAAATTTTTCTAAATTTATGTATGTCAGTATATGGTTGTGTGGATTGTTGAGTAGCATCCAAACCTTGGATTGATGATTGTTAGACCATCATTAGAAACCTGGAAGCAATGAAAAGCTGTCTCGTTCAGGTATAGGCCTTATCAGTAGTACACACTCGATACCCTGTAAGCAGGAATCAAACATAGGATTTTCGGTCTCGCTCACGAACAAATGGCCTCTAGGCCACAGAGCCCGCATCCAAACATGTTGATATCTAACTTCAATCAATCCACAATATTACGTAACCTCATCACTTGTCTACGGTGGGTAACTGTAGCACAACCAATACGGCTGAACCGCAGTAGTCACGGTTTCCCACAAGAACTCCAAAAATTTCATCAAGAAGCTAGTTAGTGGAGTACAACTGTGTTGGAAGTGAGGCAACTACCCACCAAAGAGAATGGAAGACATCATGCAATGTCGTAGATTTATTGAAGTTAGACATTGACACCACTGGCTGACAGTTCATTGGTTCCTGGGCGAGATCGAAGGTCCTTTGTTTGATTCCCGCTTTCAGGATACTGGATGCGCATTGGTGATGTGTATCATACTAGGTTGAGACGGATGTCAGGTAATTTTAGGTTTTTGTTGGTGGTTTAACTTTACTTGATTCGTAGTAAAATGCGATAAGACTTAAGCTCTGGTATAGTATGGATAAATACTGCTACTATAAATACTTAATAATCTACATTTTATACAACAATGATGTGGCCGTTTAATACATAACAATGGTATACATCTAGTGTCGTAGAAAATGTGTCATCTATCACCGACGTTTATAAAATTGACTGAAATTTTAGTAGCTGTCAGTATAATACAAAACTTTAGAATTCAACTATTTTAAAACCATAGATGCCGCAAACTGAAGTAACCAGCTACAATAAAAGTCAACTGTTCCCTAGACCGGAGTTTTTCACGTTCATTCCATAAATAATATTAGACAGTGACCGAATGGGAGTTCTCTGATTGTAATAATGAGAGAAAGTTGTGGATCTGAATCTCATGAAAAGTATCAATTGTATCAAGGTTAGAGACAGATAACTCTGACCAGCGTCAACCAGTTAAAAACTAAAAGTCAACGATGTCTTGTTGATTCCATATATTCAACTTACACCGAACAATAAGGATTAAGATGTTAAGTCATTCATACTAGTGACCACTTTGAAATATGATTGATAGAGTTCCACCAGTGCTCAGGACTACACAAAGATAATAACGGTTACTAAATTCATCTACTTAAAAATAAAAGACAAATAAGTAAATCTAAATTTTGAAAATAGTATTATGAACAATTCCGACAAATAAGCAATTCATCTTACAGTGACAAGCAAACTTTTAAAATCATACTATATATATGTGCATATACACATTTCCTTATTTTCAGTCCATTTAAAAAAACGTTTCAGTTGATACAAATTCGTCAACTCATTTTTTTTATGAACACTGAGGAAAATTTATTTGAGAACTAGAAATGAAATCGAATTCAAAATATTTTTTAACGGGGAAAATGTGAAATGTTTTTAACTAAAACATCGGTTTAGTCCTCAAAAACAAAAAATCGTAAAATGATAGTTTCGCACAGTTTTTTTCTTATTTTCGTAAATTTATTTGTAACTTTAATAAAGTTCGTTGATTATATTTTCCAAAATATCACTGAGCACAATAGTTTTCATAGGAAAGCAAACTACAAAATATATTTCACATTAAACGCAGATGGTGGAGAAAATTCGTAGCTCAGGTGAATGATTGTGATGGTGTTTCGTCCTCTGAGCTGGATGTTTTGGTTGTGGAGCTTTCATTGTTCTTCTGAACAACATCATCAGCACAAAGTTCAGATAGAAGTTTGTGACGATGATGTTGCTCAGAATAACAATGAAAGCTCCACAACCGAAGCATCCAGCTCAGAGAACAAAACACCACCACAACATTAAACGCAGCTTATTTCCGAAGATAATTGATAAAGTCACATCACTGAAAACAGCGTATACACATAATTGTACCTGAAATAAACGAAATAACAAAATAAGTATTTTATGTAAGAATTCAATATTAAGTGATTAATTCCTTTTTCAGATAACATAGATCCGACTAATTGAATAGAGTAAACATGAGAATAATTGGAGTAAAATAAAATGATATTTTCACATCCAACGTTTGTATTCACTCAAGAACTAATGCTATTCAAAAATTACAATCTAAGTTAATCAAAAATAATTGGTTGGACTATTGTAAAAACAACGTTGGTAGATATTGATTTTAAGCCAACACTAATATGGTTGTACATTAAAGTACTTAGTGTACCAAAATACATCTGAAATGAGTAGTGAATGTTTGTACGAAGAAGTATCAAATAAATATAGTTTATTCGATATTTAAAATTAACTACCTGATTAATATATTGATTTTTTGATTTTCCCTAAGTACCTTACCATATATAGTAATTATATTTTGGCAATAATAAATTTAGATGAAATGACTTGTCGTGTTCTAATAAGAAATCTTAGAAAAAAAACCCATTTACATTCAGCGTGATCTAATGAAAAACACCTTATGATAAACAACACGTCTAGGTTCTTGACGGATGATGAAAATCATTTTGGTAATTAATAGTTTTCCAATGCATCAACCAAATCTTACTTGATAGAGAAGCTCTGAAGGATGTAAGAACCTTTACATAACTAGGCAGCGAAATTGATGACCAAGGTGGATCTGATTCAGATATTAGGGCACGGATTGTCAGAGCACCTATCAAGCAAGACAAAAATCAGAATTTTCAATACAAATATCAGCACAATTTTACTGTATGTGGTGGAAACTTGGAAGACTACGAAAACCATCAGTCGGAAAACGTAAGTATTTAGTAACAGTTGTCCACGCAAAATACTTCTGATCTGTTGGCCAGACACAATCAGCAACAACTTACTGTGGGAGAGAAAAAACCAGATTCCAGTGGAGTAAAAAACCAGGAAGAATCACTGGAAGTAGATCGGACACACACTGCGGAAAGCAACCAACTGCGTCACAAGAAAAGCCCTGACCTGGAATCCTCAAGGTAAAAGGAAAAGATGAAGACCAATAAACACATTACGCTGAGAAATGGAGACAGGCATGAGAAGAATGAATAAAAATTGGATGAACTGGAAAAGAAGGTGCAAGACACAGTAGGTTGGAGAATGCTAATCAGCCGTCTATGCTCCACTGAGTGTAACAGGCGTTACTAGTAGAGTAGTATTAGGAATAATTTCTTCCAACAATTCACATTTTTTTCATCTGAATATTTTATTCCAAATAATATACAATCTTGAAATATTTCAAATATATGATCTTTATATGCAAAATTAATTTAGATTATCTAAGTAAACATTTCCTTGTATTTCTCATTTATGTCGATGATTTAGTTATTTACAAAATTT